AGAATGTTCCAGTAATGTTATCAGTAATTATAGTTAACGCTATTAGCCATTATCAGAGCATTCTGCAATTTCTAGTCTTACGAGAAGGTTCTAATAATGCCTAAAGGTAAAGTATTGATTATTTCACAAGAACAACACATTTTGTCTCTTTGGAAAGATGGGAACAGTTACAGAACGATTTCTAACAATCTGAATATTCCTTTTACTACAATTGCTGCGTTCATTGCATGGTTTAAAACTCGTAACAGCGTCGAAACCCAAAGACGAACAGGTGCTCCGAGGAAGATTTCTCTAAGATCAGCAAGGATATTATGACGCCAGATCTAACAAAATCCACAGGTTACCCGAGAAAAGTTGCAGGAACATCTGCGTGCATTAGGGATTAAAGTAACCAAGCGTACAATAAGTAATGAACTACACAAAAACAGTCTGAAATCACGCATCCTAAGGAAAACTCCACTCCTCTTGACACAGAGGTGCAAGGCTAAAATTCGTTAGAGAGCATAAGGATAAAGAATATTCGTTTTGGGAAAAACTACAATGGACAGATGAAACTAAAATAGAGTTGTTTGGTCATAATTATCGAAATCATGTGTGGAGGAAGGACGGTGCAGCCTACTTTCCAAAGAACACGTTGCCAACTGTAAAGTTTGGTGGTGGCTGTATCATGATCTGGGGCTGTTTTTCTGCAAAAGGTGTTGGCAGAATATCAATAATAGATGGCAAGATGAATGCCGAAAGATACCAGAAAATCCCGCAAGACAATTTAATGTGTTCTGTTGAGAGACTTCGGCTACCTCCTGATTGGGTTTTTCCAACTGGATAATGATCCTAAGCATACCGCTAGATCTACAAGGAAATGGTTAGCTGAAAGTAACGTTGATGTCTTGCAATGGCCAAGTCAGTCCCCAGACTTGAACCCAATCGAGAATTTATGGCGATATTTGAAAATTCAAACTGGGAAAAGAGCACCAACAAATATCAAGAATTTGAAGACAACATGCCAAGAAGAATGGTACAAAATACCACTCAATGCGTGCAAATCATTAGTTGAGACGTACAGGAATAGACTGGTAGCCGTTGAACTCGATAAAGGATATTCCACAAAGTATTAATTTAAGTTAATATGCTCTTTTTTGTTTTGTGAGAATACTTTTTTCATCAGTTAAAATGAAAAAAAAATGTATTAATTTCTGTTAGAATAAGTATTAATTAGGTTTATTACTATTTTTTAATAAAATGTATCTTTACACATAAAATGTATCGAAATTTGTTTTAGTTAAGGCTTTTACATTTATAGAAATACAAATTTTTCATGTGTACGAATATTTATCCCCTCCCACTGTATATTGTACCTGGAGTGTGTCTTGCCTTCATTTTACAGTATATCCCATTTATATGACAATTATTATGGCAGACACGAAGATACTCAGTTTACATGCAATAGTAACACCAAGAAAATCCAATCAAATGTGGACTATGCATTTAGATGGGCGTTAGGGTTATGTCTATACGCTGCGAAGGGGAGTTATTAGAGTTGTGTTCTGGTATACTAAGTCAGTTTGGTAACCAAAGCATAAGAAGTTATGGAGAGAGACAGTAGAATCGCTCATATCCCCGAAATCCTTCATATCCAGAATCTCTAATGTCCGTAGTGCCTCATATCCGGAATCCCTCATATCCAGAATCCCTCATATCCGGAGCGCCTCATATCCGGAATCCCTCATATCCGGAATCCCTAATATCCGGAGCGCCTCATATCCGGAATCCCACATATCCAGACATGATTTTGATGTGTATATTTGAACTATTTGGGTTTTATGCAACTGATTTGAAATTTCTGTTCTTTCAGGAAATTTACTTTGGATAATTGCTTATGCTTATTTCACCCTGATGGCTTGTATCGGTGCAAAGGATGATGGGAATAAGAGATGAAAGGATGACAAGACACATCTGCAACAACCAATTCCGGAAGGCCTTCTTAGTCCGGTTGTCAGGGATTCTACTGTATCCACAAATCTGTATCTTGGTAATTCGGTAGACAATATGGTAACATTCAATAAACAAGAAATCTCTTTCTCGCTCTCTCTATCTTTCTCTCTTTCTCTCTCTCTCTATCTTTCTCTCTCTCTCTCATGTATACACACACGCCCCCCCCCCCCGAGACAAAAGCTTAAAATCAGTAAATAGTTAAAATAATACAATCAAAACAATAAATGACACAAAACAAGGAAAAAAAAAAAGAAAAGCACACAACGAAAAACAAGGAATGATTTTCATCCTGAACAAGGCCCAAGTGCCACTCGAGTTTTACTGAGTAAGACTCAAGCAAGGTGATATGTTTTTAGAGAAATGCAAAATTAAAATATTTTAAAATTTAATTTATTTTACTTCTTTTATTGTCCGCTTTCCTTTCATATTTTTTTCTTAGATTCGTTCACTCTCAGTAACACCTTGCATTTTAGTGACTTTATCGCCTTGCTTGGGATGAAATGATTAAAAAAAATCATTTAAAGTTGATAAAAGTGTGATGATAAAATGTAGTCACAGCTTAAATTATATGTGCCCACCACCCTAAATTATCCTCTTATCCTGGCAATATGCATATTCCATTGACTCCAATCGCCTCCTCTATGTAATTAATATATATATATATCATACTTATTATAAAACCCAGGTTGTGTGTGTGCGTGTGTGTGTGTGTGTCTGTACGTTTACATATTGGATCAGATTTCCTACATTTTTCAACTGATTTCAACAAAACTTCACAGGACTACGTAAAATTACCTTGCGGTGGTTCTGACAGCGCCAAAAAATTGGAAAAACACAATTGTTTTTGCACGAAATCAATTTGAAAACACGATTAAGAGGCATTGCTTTTACGGAATGAAAGGGGGACAACTCATATCGAGTTATACTTATTATAAAACCCAGGTTGTTTGTGTGTGTGTGTGTTCGTTTATATATGGGATCGGATTTCCTACATTTTTCAACTGATTTCAACAAAACTTCACTTTTTTTTTTGGTAGGTAGTGTTTCTTATTGTCTTGCACAATTTTTTCTTTATTTTTACATTCAGAATGCTTTAGAAATTCCATTTACAAGACAATTGTTTATAATAAAATTCTATTCAATCGGTAGACTCATAACGATTGAAAACAATATTTTTGTTTGAGTTTGGGTTTGACCAATTCGTAAAAAAAAAAAGAACTAATTAAGACATGCGTGTCCGTCAACCTTAAACAATAATCTTTGTCAATTTTATTTTTCAGTCTTTATGATGGTCGATACTTGATCTATCTCTTATTGTTACATCCCCGGCAACGCCGGGCTCTACTAAAGTATATATATATATATATATATATATATATATATATATATATATATATATATATATATATATATATATGTGTGTGTGTGTGTGTGTGTGTGTGTGTATATATATATATTCTGGTACGGACATTGTTGTGGGGCCCGTCATTGTGTCGAGCACTTTTTACTGCTCACATTATAAGCTCCTTTGCCGAGTTTCCATTGTTCGTTTGCCATTGAGAAAATTTCTGACACGCTGATAAATGTATTCTGGTCTTTTGGGACTTTTTCCCTCCCTCCTCAAATAACAATGATTTTACGGCCGAATGGCCATTCTTTCCTCAGTGATTTTAGCTGGTCGGGATTTTTATATGTATTTACCAGCTACCCTTATTATAACACATTTTGGATAACCCCGAGGCAGGAACAAAAGCCAAGGTCATTAAACATCCAATGCCTACCGACTGAAGAATGAGTGCATAACGCGCAGTTGTGGTCGGTTCGACGTACACCAGAAGATTATAATATAATATGCTCTGCTATTGCTGGATTGAGCTCTTTTTTCCAGGGTGTCATTTTAAGTGTGTTCCTTCAGGAGTCGCTTGCTTTTTTTTGTGTGCTAATATTAATAATAATACGCTAGGGCAATATATTAATTAGTATGTCTGTTTATCAACCATTTGCAGGTTATTTAAAGCCAGAAATATTTTTACATTGTAAGATTTTTTTAAAGTAATAATAATTTATTGATCTTAACAACATAAGATACGCAGACGATACGGTACGGATAGCAGAGACGGAAAAGAAATTACAAAACCTCCTAGTAAAGGTAGCGAAGGAGAGCAAGAAGAAGGGACTAAGCATAAACTACAAGAAGACATAATGGATGGTCATCAGTTAAAAGATGTCCGAAATACGATCTGCAGGTCGGGGACACTAGAATCAAGGAGGTGCGGAAGTTTAAATACCTGGGAAGCGTCTTGACAGAGGACGGTAAGTGCGACACTGAGATCCGTAGATGTATTGGGATGGCCAAGAACGCATTCCAAAAGTTAGGCAGAATATTGCGAAACAGGGGGATTTCTTTGGTAACAAAGAATACAGTACTGAACTGTTCTGTCCTTCTATACGGCAGCGAATGTTGGACGGTCTCCTCAAAGATGAAGACAAGACTCGAGGTGAAAGAGATGAGGTTCTACAGTAGAATGCTGAGGATATCATGGACCGAACGTCTGAGCAACAATGAGGTCTTGAAGAGGATGCAAACAAGGAGGAAGCTTATATTTAAAATCAGGAAGAGGCAGATGAAATTTCTGGGACACGTAATGAGAAAGGAGGGCTTGTAGATTCTGATACTCACAAGTCGAATAGAGGGGAAGAGAGACAAAAGAAAGCAACTCATGATATATCTGGCGGGTTTCAGCAAGTGGATGTCAGAACGTGGTGTGGGGGAGGTAGCAGAGGGACGAAAGGGAGAAGTGGAGAGCCATGTTCTGAAAGGACACGACACATAAAAGGAAAGAAAGGTACAAGTTTTACTAAATAGCTAATAGCTGAAGTATATAAAAGGTGGATTTACACATTTCCCAAGGTTGTAAGTGGATATAGCGAACCAAAGTGGAATTAGAATTCAATTCTCCCATTAATAATTCCGTGCCATTATCAATGACATCATCCTCATATGCAAGCTTACAGCACCTGGTATTCCCAAGCGGTCACCCATCTAACTACCGACCAGGCTTGATGTTGCTTATCTTTGGTGATCATATAGAAACCGGTGTTTCAACGTGATATGGCCGTAA